TTTGTTTATGAACACGGAGATCCTAGGAGCCACCACAGAGGTGCTCATCGAAGATTCAGACTCCACTGGACCCTAGTGGGCAGGGAGCATGTGGGTGCTGGGACAGTTTGGACTCTGTATTTAAAAGAAAAAAGACAAAAAAAAAAAAAAAAAAAGAGGAGACAGTTACTGAAAGAGAGAAAAGCTAAACAAAACTTACAATACTAGTAAATAACCGAAGGGTCTGCTCCCCTCCAGTGTGGATTGCAGCACATCCTCTTTCTCCCAGCCAGTTCTCTCTCTCTCCCTCTGCTCCTTTGTAGAAAGGGGCACATGCTGCCATTACCAGGGCAAGCTGGATTGAGCAACAGATTTCTCTGAGCCGGGGGACACACACTGAGGAAACCCTTCGCTCTACCCCAAAGCAGATGCCTTTCTGGCTCCTTGACATGGCACCACTGGCAAACTAGAAAGCATTTGATGTGCTCTGGACAATTTTCTTAGGACTCATGGTCCCGACTTCTATGCATCGCTGCACTCTGGTCCTTGCAGTCTCATTCTTTCTCCTGGGGCTTTGGAATTTGGCTTGGCACTTTAGGCCCCCTCGGCAGGGTGAGCTGTGAAGCAGCGCACGTCCCTCTCCCCACTGCTCCTCTGCTCCAGCTCTGGCAGGAAGTCGAGGGAACGCCCTGGCTCATAGATCATGTTTGCTTGGAGAGGCCCGGGGGCTACGGGAGCCCTGCGTGGGAGAGGCAAGGAGGAGCATCCCAGTTTGACGACAGTAATTTGCACTTTGAACATGCTTCGTTTTTGTGTTGTGGTAACAAGATTCCTTATTTATTGATTAAAAAAGGGTCGGTATTTTTTAGTTGTGTTCTTAAGGGGTGGGGGCGGAAGGGGTTCAGGGTATTTCCCGGTAGGCTCCTTCACGCTAGCGAGCTGCAAGGGAGCACGTCGTGCCGTCGTAACAGCAGCTGGGAGAGCCAAGGGAAAGGCCACGTTCTCGAGTCAGATGTCTGTCACAGCTTTTCCAGAGTAGAGGGGGAAGCCCAGGAGAGGAGCCTGTTTGCAGTGGGAGTCTCTGCAGGAGCGTTTTAGCAGGAGGATGAGGTGAGTGATGGAACAGCTGGCTATTGTCTACTTTCTTTATTGGGGTGAGCTCCTTGCATTAAATGCTCTTCTTGCCCCCCTCCCTCACTCCCCCGCTCTTGCTCTCTAGCCGTTCAGGGAAGAAGGTCGGTCGTTATCCAGGAACTTGTTCTCGTCACTTAGGACAGTTGTGAGCTGCTTGCTCTGGGGGGATGTTATGCTCCTCATCCAACTCTGCCTCTCGTTTCCAGGTCTAGGCAAAGATACGGAAGCAGGGACTGGATGTGGTAGTCTCGAGCTTGTTTATCCAAGGCAATACAGACTGGTGTGGGACTAAGGGGCTGTCAGCTTCTCTCCCTGCCCCCGTTAGGGCGGAGGCTGTTGTGCAGCCGGGTTCTCAAAGCTTGTGTCTTGTGTGGAAACACCCCTGCTTTCCATGAAATGTGGCAGTTGCCTGCCGGTGTAGTTAGGACAGCTCTAAGCCCTTGGAAAAGTTTACATAGGATATGATGCATCTGCTACGGAGACTTGGATCTTTTTGCTCTTATATGAAACTATGTGTAGAGATTCAGTGGCCTTGAATTCGTAGTGTTTTTGGAAGAGGTGAAGAATAACTTGGGCTTTGTGTTTGTTTGCTTGGTTTTTTGGTTGGGTTTATGTGGTTGGGAGCAGAGCTGATCAATCTTGTTTGACCACAAGATCAGCTACTCTGGTGTGTAGCATACAACAGCGAGGCAAAATCGGGTATCCAGGCTCTGGAGAATGGCAATAAAACATGGAATTTAATTGGAAACTTTACAGGAAACTGCCTGAACACCCACTCTGCCCCTCTTCTGCCTGGAAATCCAGCTGTGGCCCAAGGCTGTCAGCTTCTGTTGCGGGCCATCTGTCCTGATTTGCCCTTTCCCTTCTCCACTTACGTTTGATGGCTTTGTTAGAGCAAGTTGAAACACTTCTGGTGCTGGGGCGGTTCGTGGCTGAGCAGTTTGCAACCCTGGTGTCTTATGCCCTGGGTGCGGGCATCCCACGTTCTGGCACTGTGACAGCAGCGTGGCTCCCACGCCTGCAGGAGATGTGTCCAGCCACGAGCCTCTCCTGGACGTAAGGATGAGGCCCCAGCGTACCTGAACGCGGGTCTCCTGGGACAGTGCATGTCAGGTCCGCGCTGGTACGGTGTTTGGCTAAACCAGTTTCTTCAGCTGGGATGATACAATTTCTTGCTTGGATCAAATTACTGTGGTGTCCCGCAGGAAGGTTTTGGGTGGCCAAACAGCCCCCTCCCCTCGCAAACTGAAGTGAAGCAGCACAATGAGGCATGTTCAAACCCAACTCTGATGGTGTCACCCTCCAGCAGTGCAGGTCTTCTCTCCAGGGAGACTGGGGCTGGCCGAGCCGTGTCGCGTGGTGGCATGTGTCCTGCTCTGGATCCCGGCCGCAGGGGACAGATGTGCTCGCATGGTGCGGGTCCCCACGCTTGCTGCAGAGCGTGCTGCTGGAGCTGCTTTTCGTGCCCTGCCCCTGTGCCCCGTGCGAGGGGCAGAGCCTTGCACAGAACACTAAATGGAGAGCTCCGGGTCTTGTTTTCTGAGGGATGACACTAAAATGCTTTTGGGTCAAGGGCTTGCCTCGCCTCTGGTGAGGCAACGCTTGACACCTGTCTGGGAGGCAAGGGAGGCTGCCTTATCCTGCGTCTGCTCCAACTGCCCCGAGTGGAGCAAAGAGCTTGCATTTCTGGGACGCAGAATTGAGCGGCTCGTTTGAAAAAAAACTGGTCCCTGCCGCTCCCTGCCTTGTATTTCCATGCGCACCTCTCATAGCTCTCCTTTTTCTTTTTCTGGTCTTGGCCAGTTGCCTGTCTGTCCTCTAACCACAGCCTGCTAACCCTTGATGCAGGAGAGACTGGTGTAGTTCCCTTCCCTCTCCCATTTGAAACCCTAAAACTGACACAGCCCTCCTGCAGCTCCTTCCCTCAATGTCTCTCCTTCACTCGCATGCAGTTTGCTTCAATAAATTATTGTAGTAGTTTGCAATAAACTTTTTTGTATATTTTCCCCTCTATTTATTTTTTTTTTCTCCTCCCGGGGAGGGAACAGAGGGGGCACAGGGCGCTTCGCCTGCTTCCAGCACCCTGGAGAGCCTGTGGGTGCTGTGCCTGGCAAGGGCAGACCGCGCAAGCAGGGACCTCCCTGCGGGGTCCCTGGGATGCGGGCTTGGGCTGGGCTGTGCCCGCTGGAGCTGGGGGGCTCCCGGAGCTCAGCAGCGCTTCCTGCGGTAGCCACCAGGTGGCAACGATGCTGGTGGGTTGGCCACCGGCCCCGGGAGCCTGGGCTGGGACAGTCCCCCGGCCAGGCTCGAGCAGGGTGCAGTGTACTGTGATTCTAAAGGGAAACTGCTTTTCAGCTCCTGCTTTTTTCTCTTAGTCTGGGTAATACAGAACCAAAATAAACGTACTGAGGAAAAAAACAATAAACCAAAAGGGCTGATTTTGTCTTGATGCGTGCAGCTCACCTGCGGTGGGTGGCTGGGACCCCTGCCCCTGTCTGCAGCCCCCCTTTGGGGCAGGACCTGTCTAGGAAAGGAGAGTTAGAACTACGGGGCCCGGT